CGAGGCTGCAAACCTTGTCAAATCTGCCAAAATCCCCGATTTCAGATAATTTGTCTCAAAGGTGGAGGTGGTGARAGCAGGTCCTGGAGTGTGTTCTGAGAACAGAGCAGCCCAGCTCTTTCAGAGTTTTTGAATTCATTGCTTCCTGAAAATCAAACCAATTTCTGCTCAAGATGGTTCAGGTAGGATTGCACTGRTAGATTCAAGAGGCAGGAGAGGATGATGTTGTGCTTTTTAGATCATGTTTGTCTAGCTCTGCTTGTCTTCAGGATAGTTTCAGGGCTGTTTGTTGGCCTTTGGTGTGGGAGAACATTAATTTTCTGATTTACATTMTACAGTGGGATGAAAATGACGATATGTAGCCTTTATTTGCTTTTAGACAACTGCAAAATCTAAATTTTTCTTGCACTTTGCTGTAGACTTTTCTCCCAGTTCTCCAACTGTGAACAACTCCTTTAAGTATGCATCAAGGACAATATTCAACCCACAATTATCATAAAAAGCTCTAAGCAGTAAAAACAAATACATTTGGGAAAAAACCAAAAAAATAAAAACAAAACAGTGGTGCAGAAGAAGAAAGCAAGGCCCAAACACTCACACAACTGTGTGAGCAGAGGAATTCGCTCACTTGGATCTTTTTTTTATGCTTTAAACGTGATGCAATGCAAACTGCAGAATGACAGAACTTACATTATCAGTGGAGGCATTTAATAATTGATCAAAGGGAGAGAGGACACAATGGGACACTTGAAAACACGGGATTGAATTTAAATAATTCAATTGGGATTGAATTTAAATAATTCTCTTAGCTCTTGTGGATGGTAACTTTCACAGCTGTGAAGCACACTCATCCAAACAGAAAAAAATAAAATAATTATTTAAGAAATATTTTTTAAAATGATGCTTAAAAAAAAATAAAAATGGTGCTGGTTTTGGCAGCTCCCCTTTGTGTTTGGATTGGTGGCATTTCCCTGCTAAGAGCCCTTTGCAGCTATTCATGTCCCACAAGGAGGGGTCACTCACATCCCATAGAAAGTGCTGCTGATAATTAGGGCTTTGTGGGGTGCTTTGTGGGGCGGTGAGCTCACTGCCAT